TGTTAGCAAAAGAGCTAATGAGCTAAGCTAACAAACATGGAGGCTGCACAGAGAACACCCAAAGAAAACAAACAGAAACCGGAATGTGAAAGCATTCCACATTCATAAAAAGTTGTGGTTCAGTCTGTTAGCCATTGAGCCGTGCTACCTTCACACAGTCGATGGGGAACATGAGGCAGTGCTCCATTATCCCAGCCACGGCGCCTGCCAACATGTGGGTGCTAGTAGATGCTCCCTGTGGCAGACCTTCATAGTCAGGTTCCGAGTCCTCTCCTTGTGCCTCCTGAGCCTCGCAGACAACGTCCACACTTTGCAGCTGCGATTCTCCCCCGATACGCGGCGTCAGGCTGCTCACAATACTTTCTGAAACTCCCCAGAATCTGCCCCCCAGCCATCGAACTTCTGCCCCAGCTGAGGCTCCTGCAACCCCGGCATCACCGCCTGCGGTCTCCGCTGTCATCCGACGCTTCCTCACAAATCCATCTGTTTCCATGAGAAACGCGGCGGTACGTAAAGTCTTATCGCGGGGATTTAAGGCCTTGACTTTCACATTCCCTTGGAGCTCCTCGTTCCTGTGTTACTACTCTCCGTCCCCGCCTCTGTCGCTTCCAAACAGAGCTCAGCAGGGGGGAAGTCGTACTGGACGAGGAGTCTGCACACCTAAATCCAGTGCAGACAGTGGGATGAGGAAGTCATTGCTCATTGGTGTCAGAGCCTATTCACGCTATTGGCTGATTGACATGCCACTCACGACTCCGTCTGTTGCAAACTTTTACTTAAAAAAAGTAGCTTTTACACGTTTCTGCCCGTTTAAAGTGCATATTTAGAACGAACAAACTCGTAAGACAAGGTAAAGAGAAGCTTTACTCAATTTGATCACATTTTAGGTGGTTACTTTTTCCACTAAAAATTAATTCAATTTAATCTAGTTCTAAAATTTACACAGGAAACAGTTTTATTTGCCACAATTGCAAATTGTGGCAAATAATTTGCAATTGTTTGCACTAAACAAACAATTGCAAATTGTTTGTTTAGTGGCTTTATTTGCAATAAAGCCACAATTGGTAAGCCACAATTGGCTTATTGTTCTCAAACTAGTTTGACCAGAAAAAAAAAAAACTTTAAGGGTCCACCCTTCAATTTCAATGCATTCATTCAACAGGGGAAAATGTTAAGGAAACAATTGCTCAATGGCACTATTGAACTTTGTTGCCATTAGGACAACACTTATTTTTCTATAATATTGACAAGGTTGGACCTTGCAGAGAGAGTGATCTTTGACCTCTTTGTAGAATCATTAAACTATGGATCATCTGTTCTCTTAAGTCTCTCTCTTCACCTCGATCCACATGTTTTCAGTGCATATCTGAGGACTGAACTGGCCATGGAAAAAAGTTACATTTGTGTGCTGTGTACACTTTCTGTGTAGATTTGGCTTTTAGTGGTCACCAGGTTTTCCTTTCAGGTCTATTGGTATTTTAAAGAGTTCATGAATCCATGCTCATTAGCAGTGTCCCAGGTGTTTTCGGAAGGGATACAGGCCATGCTTGGAAATGCTTTTCTGCATAATCAGCCTTTGTTTGACAACCTACCAATTCAATTTTGTTGTTGCTAAAAACCTAAAAGCCCGTGATTACAGATAAAATACCGGATAAACTTAAGTACAGATAAACTTAACATATTTGCATTTGTAACGGTAGCACAAAAGAGATTTTTATTGGTATTCCTCTCACACAGCTGGTTGGCGTAACACATTCAACTGGTTGTTATAATAACTTGAAGCAACACTTTTCTGCAGTTCTACAAAAGTGAGCTTTGGAGATTTTTGTTTTTTACCTCTTCTACTACTCTCCTTACTGCGCGTGGTGCTAAAAGAGATCAAATCAAAAAACTAAAATGAACAGATAACCTGAATGTCTCATTATATGCACTACACAGAGGGCCATGGATTCATATTAATAAGTTAATAAAAAACTCAGCTTAAAACAAAATTAAAAAAACACTTCACTTGCATTCATATTTAATAAATTGACAAGTGTGCCAATAAAATTTGCAATATGTGATTTTGTTAAAAGCCATGATTTCTTTTCCCTGTGATAAACAGAAGCATGCCCGGGTCAGCATGGATAAATCGGTATGGATGACGGATGAATCAAAGACTCATTTAAGACGTTTTACACACCAGAGTTATCTTAAAATTTACTTTGCTCTCTTTATGCTTGTAATTATTGTTTGAATTATGAAATTAACATAAAAATTTAAACTATTGAGATCATGGATCAATTTTATCTGCAGCTCACTAATTTCTCAACAAGCGGAAGTAACTACCAAAGCATCAAAATGAACCCACTTACATTCTTTGCTAATGTGAATCCTGTAGTGCTGCTGGGAGCCTGATCCCTATCATCAGCACTCAATAGGATTTACCCTCAATGGCTTCAAATTCATCACAGGGGAACACAGACACCCAAAGTGCAATCAATTCTGCACATCCTCCACTGGTAAGCAATTCAGAGTGGCCAATCCAGTTGCTGTGCATGGTTTTAGACGATGGTGGGAGGAATTGAACCAAGGCATGCACAATAAGAGCATTAGAAAGTAGTTCCATCCGCTCTTTGCTGGGTCAAGGTTGTGCAGAGCACACACATTTCACTCACATAGAAGGGCCAGAATTGAGATCGAAACCTGGGACCTTCTTATTTTTATAGAATGAAGCAACAGTGCTAAGACCTGCACTAGTGCACAGCAAAATGCAATTAATCAAAAATATTTTACGATAGGAATACGCTAATGTCAGCATCGACATTGGTGATGTCTCATAAGTTTATGACTTTGGTCAGATTTACACATTTGCTTGTATGGTGAGCTGCTATCCAGCCTTCACACCCATCCATCCATTGTTTACGTCCGTCTGGGAAAGCCAGACATTCTTCTCCGTCTCTGTCCCAGTAGGCCATTCCCAGAAAACCCCAGGATCCTGTTCCTGTTCTTTTAGTGTGATCCACATCTCATGATCACAGTTGAAGGATGGAATGTAAAAAAATAAGAGATTTTTAGAGGCTTTTTTTTGTGTAAAAAATAGCCTTAAATCTTAAGAAAGCTATAAAGGAAGTTTGGTTACCTTTAAGCAAAATATAAAGTGAAGGGGGATGACTGAAGACTTATTTGCTTTGTTTATAAAGTGCTCATACTATCACAACTCATAGACCTCTTTTTATTCGTCATTCTTAAATGGAAGTTTATTTTTGTTTCTTTTTTTTAGGTGATGAATATCACAAAAGATTTCTCAGTGTCAGTTGCATCTCTCAAAAATTACCAGATTTATTTTGGTCATTATTCATCCAAATAAACCCGAGAGTTAAAACCGATCAACTTCCTCATCCATAAGTGTTCATTATGCACCGTTTATAGACCCTTGTGAAACAATACCTTATGGTTTCCGTGTATAAATGCTGAGACACGTAACATTTCCACCAGGGAATGCATTTGCCTGGAGGCATTTTTTTTTTCTTTTTTTCTTTACCAAAGAGGGGTAATTGTGTTTTGGTGCGGAGCTGTTCCAGCTTAATTAGATTTTGGCCCTTTATTGCCTGAGAGAGCCTTCAAGGGCTGCAGTGTTGAATTTCTGCCGACAAAGGGAAATGAAGTGTTAATTTCTGCTTACAAGAACAAAAACTCCTGCCTGGATCGTCTGATCCAGTTACGGTTGATTGGTCGCTGCCGCAGACGCTCCTTTAAGGAAAACCGAGCAGACACAATATCAGGATCATTTCTCTTCCCTGAAACTAATGCTGGTCTAATACGCCGAGGGGGATGCATTTTAATTCTTTCAGGAAACTAGATCACCATAGCATCCCATTTCATTGCCCCCTACCAAGAGAGTGCACAATCTATGCAAACCTCAGGAATTATTTTACACTGCCTAAGCAAAATACAGTGAAAATCCTATTGCCCAGATGATACTCTAACTTGCTTAACTTCTGCTGTGTTTGGTTATTTTTACACCAACTAAAGTATTCAAATCATGCTTCAGATCTTACCAAGCAATTTCCAGCTTGTCCAGCCAGACTGCGGCTCGCAGATGGACATCATGATCTATGACCTCTTATCTCTTTAATGTATCGTACAAGAACCACTAGGCCGAGATGACATCTTTAACAGCAGCACTCGGAAACCATTTTGTGTTAAGAGTTCTTCTTAAAGTGTTCAAGGTCGGCTCTTATACATCGACGTGATTTATGTCGATGTATAAGACAAGCTGTGAAATGATTGCCTTGAACAACTTTGTTGTTTTAGTGCTTTGCTACATATAATTTTACCATAGAAAAGAAACTGAAAATGCAGAATATCACACACAGTTGGGGAAACAGGTGTTTTCTTCACATTAAACTTTTCATGTTTTTTTTTATAATTAAAAAACTACAACGTAATCCTAGATCTATAGCAATTAACCACTTTCACACTGTTCTCTATGAATCAGTTGTGACTGACTGTAAAAAAAAAAAAGCTTATAGCTTTATGAATACGTTTTCATGGGTTCAATGTGCCCCCTGGTGGCCATTTGCATGTTTACAACATGATCTACTACTTCACTGAAGTTACTGCCTAGCAAACTTTTTCATAGTAAAATGGGCTTGAAATGATATATAGTTTTAAACATTTCTTACAAATTAAAATTATAAAACTAGTTTCTTGTTTCTTCGTGGTGCTGGCCACGCATTCCTCACTACTTATAAGCATCTCTAAAAAATCACGATCGTTAGTTTAAGTGATTTATGTTCATGCTCTTATTTTGAAATGTAAACGGTGAAAGAAGCGGGAGGAAAAGTTATGGAGAAACCGCTAATATCTGACACCTGTTAATGCAATCTACCTGTCTTTATTATATCTAAGTCTTCAAGGCTTCTGAGACTCGTGGTTAATACAGCAAGCGCGTGAAACTAAAAAGATAAAGGAAAGTCCGATGCCAGAGAAGAACGTCAGCGATATTTAAAAAAAGGAAAACTTCAATGACGGAAGTTAATCTCATCCAATCAGATCCTTAAAAAATGCCTTGTTTTACTGCTTGTCCAATCGGGTGTTGCTCTTCAGAAACGCCTTACTTTGGAAACGCCAACTTTGTCTGCGGACCGACCTACCAACTTAACAGGGTCTGATTCTGATTTCGGATGCTTAGCACAGTTCGGGAAAGGAGGCGGGACCGACGTTGGATAAGCGAAAGCTCCTGCCATGGCTGCAGCGGTGTGGACGGATCGAGGAACTCGGGCTAAGAATCTGCTGTGGATACTGATGGGATCCAGATCGAATCACACTGCTTTAAAACCCTGCTATGACGCGCTGGTCATCGGAGGAGGTGAGAAACATTGAAAAAGGCTTTTGAAAACAAAATTTGTGGTGCCAAGATTCTTACTTGTGGTGAAAAAACAACAACAACAACAACAACAAAAAAGCCTTAATCTTCCAGAAGTTGTCAGTTGGCTTTTCTTTATTTCAGTTGTGTTTAGTTTTGCAAACTTGAACTTGCACAAATCAGCCACAAGATGCACAACAAAAATTAAAATCTATTCATGTACAAAATATGTCTTCTTCTTTGCAGGACACAATGGGCTGGTGGCAGTGAGTTCACACATTTGTTTCCCAACACCTGCTGTTCAGTCTGCACACCTATACCATCTGACAACAGGTTAAATGTAATTTCGTGCGTGCGTGTGCGTGCGGCGCGCGCGTGTGTGTAGGCCGCCTATCTTCAGAAGGGAGGGGTGAAGACAGCTGTGCTGGAGCGCAGACATGTGCTGGGAGGGGCAGCTGTCACAGAGGAGATCTTTCCAGGTAGGATGAATACACTGGGAAAAATATTGGTTCACTGGGTCACAGAAAAGTGATTTATCTAAAACACACAACAGATTATGACTCCTTGCAAAGCAAGATGTTATTACCCAAACCTGTTGCAGAGCTACCTAACAACTTTATGACCTAAGGGACCTCAGTAATAAGCCTATGACAACAGTTATTATAATGAAAGATAATGTTATCTTTCATGATATAGCTTTAGGGCTATGATCATGAAAGAGATATACGGTAGTTATCTCTAACTATTCGGGTTAAATTATTGAGATTAAGAATGTGTAACAACACTATAAGCAAGCCATATGAAATACAAATGAATACAAGACAATCATTAACTATATGACCAACCATATTACGTGGCTGTATGGTTCTCGGGGATTTTCCCCAGGAAAGTCTGAGTATCGGAGACTTTATTTGTTGCAATATGGCTCTTTTTTTCTAAACTTATTTGACATTTATTTGTGTTTGCATGTGTGTCTTTTTTGTGCTAAATGTGAAATGCATTCATGAAATAGCATTCAAAAGTAGAAGATATGATAGATACCTATTTTGCTTTCATCTGTTTTTAGCTGCTCAATACACTGGTTTCATTCAATTAGAGAAAAAAAAAACCTCTTGTCTGCAGGTTTCCACTTCTCCAGGTGCTCATATTTGCTCAGTTTGTTACGACCTCACATATACAGAGACCTTGAGCTCAAGGTATAAACACCAAAATCATTTCAAAACACTTTATGTACAGTCTGAAGCAGATATTTACATAAACTGTAAAAAGATATATATTTTTTTCTTACCGTTTAGTCTGACATTAAATCAGACTACGTACCCTCCTGTTTAGATCAGTTACAATGACCAGAATTTCAATTTCTATTGTATTTTTTGTTTTGTAAATGCCAGAACAACTAGCAAGAGAAGTTTTGGGAGAATTTCTGAATCTTCTTCAAATTTAGCACATTTCTCTATTTGGGCAGAACTGCCTTTTAAACTGTATGACTTGGATCAAGCTGTGGATGGTACAAGTATTTTATACCAAAACATGTTCCTCTCTGGGACACAGAAACCGTTTACTTTCTGAATTGTACAATGGCTGGATGTTTCAATGATAGTCATGCTTGCTTATAATTACTCAGGAAAAAAAAGTGATGTATTTTTATTCAGTTTATGTAAATGCCTGGTTTAAAGTATACATATGCTTCTAATATCTAATCTTAAAATGAATATCCTTGTTTGTTTTTATATTTTTTGCTTTGTTTTTGTGTTTTATTTGTATTGAGAAACATGGATTGAAGGTATACATGAGAGACCCCCATTCTTTCACCCCCATGTTGGAGGAGGGGATGAAGGGGGCTGTACCAAGGTCCCTCACCCTTGGGTCAGATCTGGCCGAAAACCTAAATGAGATCGGCAAGTTTTCACAGAAGGATGCTAAGGTGTCTTAAGCATAATAAAAACTGTAATAAATGATACTGTGCTTTGCCTTTGTTGAATTTAATGTCTCCTTTCCTTTCCTTCACCACATCTTTACCGATTCTCTAAAATGTTCTTAGGCTTATCCAGACTTTGTTGCACATCTTAAAAAGTTAGCTAGTGCTATCCACCCTCTGCTGGATTCTCCACCTGTAGATATCAGAGGAGTTACAGCTGGTTCACTAAGGAAGAGGCTGGCTGCAACTAAGACGCTGATACCTATTGCCAAATTAGGTTTGTGGACCAAGGCAGACATTCCGAATGATCTCTTTGCATAGTCCATTACCTGAGTCACATTGTTTTGTTTTTTTTTTATTGTAAATTAAAAGGTCTGAAACTTGGAGGGAATATTCCAGACTTTTATGAAATTGTAACCGCACCCATCATGAAGGTTTGTTATATCTTAGAAAAAATAAATAAACCAGACACTCTGCTCTCTGTGTGTGTTGCTAATGACACTCCTATTTTCTGTCAAAGATTCTCACTCGGTGGTTCGATTCAGAGCCACTGAGGGCAACATTAGCTACTGACGGTGTGATAGGAGCCATGACCAGTCCTAGCAACCCCGGTAGCGGGTGAGAGGAATTTCTTTTTCACTGTAACAAATGTAGCAGAGCAGAATTAAGTGCAGACCTCTCCTAAATCTGTTATGCATTTGTCTTGCCATGAAGGTATGTGCTCTTGCACCATGTAATGGGAGAGCTGGAAAAGGAGAAAGGAGCGTGGGGTTATGTGGAGGGAGGCATGGGAGGTTTGTCTCAGGCTATAGCAAGAGCTGCTCAGTCTTACGGAGTAGACGTTTTTACAGAGAAGGTAAGGTGATCATTTAATATTTTATTTTCCTGTGTCTTTTTACGGAACCTGGTCGATTGTGTTTTCTCCGCGTCTTGGGCAGAATGTCGAACAGATCCTTGTCGGTTCAGATGGCGCAACTAAAGGAGTAGCGCTAAAAGATGGTACCGAGATTCACAGTAATGTGGTTCTGTCAAATGCCACCCCCTATGCTACCTTCAAGTACCTGACATCGAAGGTAATACTGCGAATCCCCATCTCATGTTAGCAGAGCAGAAGGCAATGTGCAGCTGATGCGTCTGCTCTCTCCGTAGGGTGCTCTTTCTGAAGAGTTCATCAAAGCTGTAGACCAGGTAGACTACACTTCACCTGTTACAAAGATTAACGGTGAGTCTATTCCGCTTCTGGTGAAGTTGTTTTTATTAAAGTTTCTATGAAATCTATCCTGTAGTGAAGTAAAGCAGAATTCAAAAGGGATTGTCTACGAGGTGTAGAGAAGGCTCTGTATGGACGGCTGTTGACCTTCTAAAGTCCTGTAAGGCCTCTTTCACTTGTATGTGGTTTGCGAATTAGATGATAGTTTATGCATTGCGTAGGCAGTTGCAGTAATCACTGAACTGTGTGAAAACGTGTAATAAAGATGTTAGATGGACAGACTAATAAACTGCTACCATCTTCTTTCTTAACTTTATTTTAATGTGGAGAGAAAACTTGAACCAACATCCCTGGCAAATACAATACACACAATTTAAAAGTTGAGTGGAAAAGGCATTGAATTCTCAGCAAAAACCCATTTTGGTTTGGTCGAGAAACTTTGGTTCAAAGTTTAAAAGTTCCAAAGTGTAATTGGTTAAAATACCTGCCTTTAATAATTTGCATTTGTGAGCAAAAATAGGTGTCAGTATAGTGTATATCCCCCCCCCCCCAGGTGCCAGAACTCGTCTCTTCCTGAAAAAGTGGCAAAAAACTCAGATTGTTGTTTTTGTTTACTTTTCTTGTCGTCTGCTTTTGTAGTGGCATTGGACAAATTACCAAACTTCCTGGCATCACCCACACCAGACGATAAGCCTGGACCCCACCATCAGTGCTCAATACACCTGAACTGTGAAAACGTGGACATACTTGAGGCTGCATATAAAGATGCCATCAATGGACGTCCCTCAGCGAGGTTTGACTTTATTCCTCATTCCTTCAAACTCAATTCGTGTGGATGAATGGGAAAAAAAACCTGGAAAAACACATTTACTGTATAAATTAGTTTTAAGTTGATATGGATGAAAGATATGTCATCAACCCTGCTGCCTCTAAAGTTTTTATATTTCAAGATTATCAGGACAAATTCCTAAAGGCGACCAATAAGTTTATTTGTGCATCAAGTCATTTAAAGGATCTTTTTTCAGCGACATATATTTTATATGTATCACATAGATGTGATACAAATATAGACAAACGTAACATCATCAGATCTGGTTATTATTTGACTATTTGCACAAGTAAAAAATGTCATTATGTTTACAAACCGCTTCCTATATGTCGGTTATTAAAAACAATCTGTTTACCACATACAATATTAAAGATATCTACTATGTTCACTGCTTGTAGCTTAACAAAAAAATTCCCACCTTTTACCAAATGATGTTCTCTTTGCCTGTAGACCTATGCTGGAGATGACTATCCCATCTGTTTTGGACCCCACTCTAGCGCCCCCTGGCTGCCATGTTGTGTCATTGTTCACTCAGTTTACCCCCTACCACATCAAAGGCAGGGAGTGGACCCAGCAGGACAGAGAGGACTTTGGAGACACCGGTTAGAAACACAAATTATTCTTATACTAAAATCATATATTCCTTTTAACTTATTCTCTTTTCTATGTAAAAGGTGATGACAAGTTGGCTGCAGACTATGTTTTTTTTTTTTAAGAGCCTCTTCTTTCTAAAATTAAAAAAATGTGTTTAAAAATATTGGTTATCTTTAGAACTGTTTTGATAAACCTGTATCAGTAAAAACAAAAAAATAGTCTGTCTTTGTCTGCTTTTGTAGTTTTTGACTGGGTGGAACAATACGCCCCTGGGTTTAAAACCTCCGTTGTGGGCAGAGAAATCCTGTCTCCCCCTGACCTGGAGAAGATCTTTGGACTCACTGGCGGGGTACAAGCTGTACACTGCACACATTATGGATGGGAAGCCATTTGAATGTTGACATAGAGCCCGTTTGCTTGACACAATCAGCTCTTCACTGAAGGGGGAAGTAATTTGAGTCCTTCATGGGGCCTGTTGTGTAAGCGGTTAATGGTTATAGGCACTTTTACACAAACCTATAAATGAGAGTCAAAGTTCAGCTGAGCCTTTTTTTTTTTTTTTTTTACCTCACAGAGCTTTGTTTCGTCATTGTGCATGTGTGTTTTTCTGTTTTAATGTGGCACCCATCAAACAAAAGAGTGTGCATGGTTATGTAAACTCCAATGCGAAAGCATCCAACATGAGTTTGTTTTCACAGAATATCTTTCATGGATCAATGTCTCTGGACCAGCTCTACCTAGCGCGACCTTTGCCCTCACTTTCAGACTACCGCTCACCAATTAAAGGACTCTATCTGTGTGGCAGTGGCTGTCATCCAGGTTTGCCGTTTCATTTTAACTGGATAATAAACTGCATTTACAGAATCATTTTTTTCACTTTATAGCAAAGTAATGGGAATTTTAATTGTTTTATGTGGTTACTGTTGATGAATATTTAATGAACCTTTGAGTTTGAAGTTACATTTTCATTGCTGCTTTGTTTGTCTGCTCATTGAGTAGACAGTGTGTGATTTTCATGTGTTTGGTGATTCACAGGTGGCGGTGTGATGGGTTCTCCAGGCTGGAACGCAGCACTCACTGTTATATCTGATTTGAAGCGTCGCTGAGAATTGTGACAGCATTACTGCAAAAGCATACATTAAAATCTTCTATACTACATATCTACATTTGTTAAAAAAACAACAACTTTAAAGTTCAAAATTAAAAATTGCAACCGACACTCCATTCTTGCATAAATACTCACATACTCCTTGAATGTCACATTCTGTGATGTTCCACAAACAGACTTCAATGTATTTACTAGAATAGTTAGTGACGTATCAATACCAAGTAGCACTTAATTGGGTAACACTTTATTTGAAGGGGGTTGAATAAGACTGACATAACACTGTCATAAACATGACATATCACATGTCATGAACATGAATAAGCCTTCATGAATATTTATGACTGTTGTCATAAAGCGTCATTCGGTAAATTATGACACTTTTAATACAAAGTTGACATTATTCAAAATGCCGTTGTTATGACAACTTGACATTAACCAAGAAATCATTACTGATATAAATTTGTTATAAAAGAATTACTGATTGCACTTTAAAAATTAGGTAACTTTATGTTATTAAAGGTAAAGTTTAAACAGTAATGATTTCCTAGTTAATGTCAAGTTGTCATAACAAAGACATTTTGAATAATGTCAACTTTGTATTAAAAGTGTCATAATTTACCGAATGACGCTTTATGACAACAGTCATAAATATTCATGAAGGCTTATTCATGTTTATGACAGGTGTTATGTCATGTTAATGAAAGTGTCATGTCAGTCTTATTCAACCCCCTTCAAATAAAGTGTTACCCTTAATTGTGAAGCAAGAGTCAAGCATTGCCCTGTATTGAGCTCCATGTATCTGTCAATCAACTCTGACCTACTTCCATGTCTTTGCTGAAGAGAAGTAGCCCCACAGCATGATGCTGCCACCACCATGTGTTCAGGAGGATGTTAGGTTAGCATTTTGCATGTGGGGCAAAATGTTAATTTTCAGTACCGTTTGACCATACATAGTTGTGACAAACTACAACTACTTGCTGAAGCTTTCTTCTTGCCATCCTTCCACAAAGACCAGATTTGTGGGAAACTTGACCAATAGGTTTTTTTTTTTTGTCAACAGGTTCTCCCACCTAAAAAACTAGTCTTTGCTGCTCCTCCAGGGTTACCATGGTAATCTTGACCACTTCTCTGATTGTTGGCCCCTTTTCCTAACCTGTCAGTTCACAGAAGCCACGTCCTGCTGGTCTCCAGCTGTGCCTGGGTAGTATCCATACCATTTAAGGGGTATAGATACTTGTTTAAAGGAATATATTTGATTACGTCTTTATTTTGGGGTTATTTTCTGCAACCATGGATGAAAGAAATCAAATCTTATCCTATAGACATTTAATGAAGGTGACAATGAAAATGGTCTGTGGGACAGGTTTTGCAGTTATCTTTTTAGACTACTGTGACTTTGACATTGCTTGATCATAAGAAACACATTTTGATTTGGAAAAGTAGTTAATGTGTATCAGATTAATCAAGTGGAAGTAAGTTTTTACACAAGTATCAGCTAAAGGTGAGCATACAAAAGCTTGCATGTTCCTCAAAAGTGATATTTTAAGGTGATCTTTAACACCGTTATCTAGATGTTTACAATCATGAAAGTGATGTACAGTGAAATTTTTAGGTTTGAAAATGTTTAAATAAATTCAAGCAAAGCTGTTTACAAAACAAAGCAAATTATTAATATCTCCCATCTGTGTGTTGTCTGTATCCTGTTATATGTGCAGCATCACATGCACAGCCATAACTTCAGCAGCGTTTGGACTAGTGGCAGGTACATGGACAGGTCACCAGTCAATCACAGGACAAACAACCACACATTCACACACTTTTACCTAAGGGCAATTTAGAGAGACCAGTTAACCTAACATGAATATTTACATATTTATGTATTGCAGGAGGAAGCCAAGAGTTCCCAGAGAAAACGTACACATACAGGGTCAGAACATGCAAACTCCATGCAAAAAGACCCTAGGCTGGGATTCAGCAAGGTCCGCCTTGATGCAACACTAACAACTGTGTCAGCATTCAGTCTGCAGTCAGTAACTTAACAATAGTCTGCAACTGCATGTTTTTGTTGTGTAGCTCTACATCATTATTTAACCAGTTGGTACAATTCTTAGTGCAGTAATCCCCCAGAGAAAACCTCTAGATTACTTGGGGGAAAAAAAGTGATACTATTCACAAACCCTTTTGAAATATAAATATTGTAAAAGTTTATTCAGGGAAGCCAATTGTAAACGCCTACTTAGGGAAGTCTGCACATTCAGAAAAATGAAACAATGTCATATTCATATGAACATCTAGATTAACAATGATTTGAGCTGCAGCAAATGAAACATTTGCAGTCACAAAAGTAACAATCCAGAGTCAGGCGTGGGAACAATTATCCAGTGACGGTTGACGATCCCTGTATTATTTTTGCTTTTTTTATTTTTATTTTTTATAACTGTTATGCACGATTAATATATCTGCATAATTACTTAATTTTGAGAGAAACACGCAAACTAGTAAAGAAGAGAATCAAAACCATCCTGTTCCCCGTCCAGCAGGTGTCTGTGTCCTGTGCCTTTAAGACGCTGCTCAGGGTGGACCCAGCGTCGGGCGTTTTGACGCTCAGGAAGCGGATTAAACCACCGAAGATTCCCGCAGATAGCGATTTTCCCAATGTGTGAAAAAGGTCTCCACGCCGACTTAAACCATAGTTAAAACATTTTGGGAGATTTATTTTAGAGGATAATGCTGGATGGTTGCGCTCATGAAATTCACCAGAGATATATGCCGGCTGTTGGGACTCGGAAGCGGTAAGAAAACGTCCCTCTTTTGAAAACTTTCATGAGCTCACCACAAGTTTAGAGCCCGACAATAGCAACGCGATGAACGAACTTCGGAACTCGTTTAGCATGCGGAACGTTAGACTGGTTTGCGTTTGTTATTGCGCGTCTCACTGGTTTCTGTCGAGCGACTCAAATGGAATTCGTGTAACAATGAAAAGTTTCCATGTTGCCAGTTCCTCCCTTTCCCCACATCTTGTTAACTCGCTTCTAGGGAGTCTTTACGTTCACCTACGACAGATTCAGACAGTGTTTTGTACATCAGGTAAGGTCTTTGAATGTTAAATGTACCGATGCGAGAGGTATGTGGTGTATTAAAAGACAAAATAAACAGGATAAGTTTCCTGTTCGCGTTGGTATGAAAACAATGCTTCAGATAGGTGGCATACTCTTCCCTGTGGGTGTATTTATGTAAGACGAGACAGGTTGTGTGTCTCTGAAGTTGGCCTAAGCTAGGTTCCTCTTTTTTCTCCCCCAATCATGATGTCATGTTTTGTTCAACAGGATGCATGTATGTTAGAGTTGCATTAGAGGCAGCTGAGGATCCATAAATAACCCCTTCAACGCTCTTATAGGACACAGGTGTTATTGATTATGTGATCAAATTTCAGGCTTTTTCGCTCATTTGCAAACTAGTAAACATTTGAGTTGGCTCATGTTTCACAATTTTCCACCCCCCCTCCTTTCGCCCCCCAAGAGCTCTAACTAAAAACAGTCATGCCTTCAAGCTGCATTTAGTTGTAGCAAAATGCAGCTGAAATGCACCTGTGAGTCCTTTAAAATCCATTGACATTTTTCTAACTGCAAACTAGCAATGAAGCTTATTTTCTGTCCAGCCCACCAGTTCCCAAAGATACACTGTCATTTTTGCATTCCTGTGGAAAGAGCTCACCTTTCAACCGCACTCTGATTTGGGAAGTTTCTCCAAACAGAAGAAACAGAGGCTCTTTTGTTGCCTTTGTCCACAAATCTTGTATCATTTAAGTGTTCAGAGAGCATTCCACCAAGGTAATCCTTGAACAGAAAGTCAGATTCGGTGACATTTGAGACTTTTGTCATTGGAGAAGTGTGGCACACATGAACAGCTGACTTTATTCCCTGTTCTCACTCACTACATGTTTGTGTTTTCTGCTGCATTCCAGTGCTGGATTCTTTATCTAAACGCTTCAATTTTTAGATGCAAGAGGGGTTAAAAAGGTCTGGGTTCCTTCAGCTGGCTTTATGAGGATTCCTTTTACTTTCTGCATTGTTGACGAGAGCTGCTGCGCCCAGCAGCACACACATAAACATTGAGAGAATCAGGAAGCCCAGAGGCTCCATGTCTTTTTTTTTTTTTTTTTTCCCCTTCTTTCCCAACCTCCCAGAAAAGATTGAGTGTGCTGTATAGATGCATTTCAAAGGCAAAATTGTCCATCCCGGCTTTACGAGTCACAACATGAGTCACAGACCAAGTATGGATTTGTCATTCTCCACAACACTTTGCTGAACCAATAGAAATCTGACACCGCAAAGTTTCCCTTTAGGCCCGTTTTTTTTGTCTAATTTTTTTTTTTTTTTTTTTTTTTTTTTTGTCTTGTGATTTGTCTCCATGTTCTCTGCTTGGAGAAACGGCAAAGCTTGTATCTGCTCTATGCCCAAACAATAGACCCCTACTTTAAAAAGCCAGTGTCTGCTCTGTAGGTCATATTTAGCCAGGTTTCAGAGAAACTGTAGTCCTCGAAGCGACTGTTTGTGGTATGTGATGGCTAAACTGTTCCTCTTGCTTAAGACCAGAGAAACGACATGAATTGAACTCGTTGGGCAGTTTTCAGTTCGGCATTGTTGAGCATTCCTGGTTCTCAGAAAGCGTTTAATAATAACTATTCTCCTTTTCACCACCCACAGTTATAATTTTTAAAATGTTTTATTTGTTACTAAAACCTAGAGCGGATAAACCTGAATATGATGGAGGAGCATATTTATCCTGCATTCAGATGGCAGAGCTTTTAATACAAGATCTGTTTGGATGCTTATTGGAGGAGTAGATTGAGTTATCAAAATGCATCACTTGACATTCAAAATCTGGAAACAAAGGATTTCTTAAGCTGTACTTTGGATTAATAGGACAATCTGTGATTTGAAGGTGGAAAAAAAGTCTAGCATTAACCTTTAAGCCTGAGGGTCACAACTGTCTGTTTCTCATTTTATAGTACAGGAATGCTGCATTGTTTGCTGTCAGGGTAGGTTGTTGTTCAACTGTGGTCTAACCA